TGCAGCAACAACAGCAGCAGCTGCAGCAACAACAGCAGCAGCTGCAGCAACAACAGCAGCTGCAGCAACAACAGCAGCAGCTGCAGCAGCAACAGCAGCAGCTGCAACAACAACAGCAGCAGCAGCTGCAGCAACAACAGCAGCTGCAACAACAACAGCAGCTGCAACAACAACAGCAGCAAGATGGCGGCGGCATGTGCGGCCACGTGTGCGTTGTGCTGCATGGGTGTGGGCTGTGCGTGAGAGTGGGTGAGGGTGAGCTGCGTGTGAGTGAGCTGTGTGTGTGTTTAAATTTAGTGTTTTAAAGATGTCAATTCACCTGCTGTGTATCTTACTACTGTCCTTCCCGGCCATATCTAGTGCCACACTCAACTCTACAAATGGCTACCCGCGTTACTTCGCGTCAATACTTATTGCTAAATTTGCAACTACACCTGCTAATGAAACAACTTATAGACACTTCTACACTCCATCATTATATCCTTTTAAACCCTATCTTTGTCCCATTACTTCACCAGCACTCCTTCCAAACTTCATTCTGCTCTTAAAAATAACACCATCTGCGAGCTGCTGCTATTCGTCCAAGGTTCGTCGCTCTTCATCCTTTCACAGAAAATACCTGTGCAAACTATTAATTCTACTTTTCTTATTTCTGGGTGGTATTGAGCTTCATCCTGGACCAAATGTAAAGAACTCATATAATTCTGTAGATTTTTCTGGCAGAAAAGGTGTTGGTGTTCTACATGTCAACATCAGAGGGCTTTTGATTAAATTAAGTCAACTAAAACTAGAAGTAGCAAATCTTGACCCGGACATATTTTGCCTAACAGAAACATTTCTCACTCCTGCCGTCAATGACTTGCAGATTACGATTGACAACTACAATCTTTTTCGGCTTGACCGAGGATCTAAAGGAGGTGGAATTGCCATCTATGTTCGTAATACTATTGCATGTTCACCAGCTCACTCCTTGTTTAAAAAATGTTGCTTTGAAGGTCTGGCTCTCAGAATAACTCTCCCTAATAATCAACACATATTGGTAGTGTGCTGCTATAGACCGCCTAGTGGGAAGGATGTTGAAGCTGCATCTGCACTGAGAGAGCTTCTTGGGGGCCTCCCTAAAGGTGAAATAGTTTTAGTGGGTGATCTAAATTGGAATTGGCTAAACCCGCCGGCCGTGGCCACAAATTTTGCAGATGAATTTAACCTGTTTCAATTAATAAATGTCCCCACAAGACCCAACCTAAAAAATCCGGGACAGTCATCTCTGCTTGACGTCCTATTGACAAATGCCCCTCACAATTTCGCACTGACTGGTGTTCTAGGTAATAACCTTAGTGATCACTCCTTCATTTTTGGGGTGAGATCATCAGCCAGACCCAAAGCCCCCCCTAAATTGGTTGAGAAGCACTCCATGAGACACTTCAGCACTCAGGCATTTACTAATGATGTGCTTCACTCGGATATTGACAAGGTCTGTGATATTCCAAACCTGACTACGGCTTGGGAGACCTTCAGGTACACGTTTCTCCAAATTCTTAACAAACATGCTCCGTTGGTTAAATTTAAAACTAAAGGCAACCGTCCACCATGGTTTGATCCTGTGATTACAAAGCTTATGAAAACTAGGGACAAGGCTTGGGCATGTGCTCAGAAAAGTAATTTGGTCAATGACTGGCTAGAATACAGGATTTTAAGGAATAGATGCGTCAAAAAAATACGGCATGCAAAAAATAACTACTTCTCTTCCACTCTCCTTGAATCTCATGGAAATGCCAGGATTTTCTGGAAAACAATCAAATGTATCGAAAAGGCATCCAAAACAGATCATCTGCCCGTTCAGCTTAACCGAAATGGGGAATATTTTTCAGATCCCCAAAAAATAGTTGACAATTTTAACCTTCATTTTTCTGAAGCTGGTACCCTATTTGATAATGTATTGGGAGTCACCCCTGCTCATGCAAATTCCTACACTCCTGTCCAAACATTAAGCGAATTTAGTTTTCAGCCAATCCACGAAAATAATGTTCTGAAACAACTGTCCTACCTCAAAGGGTCCTCCTCTACCGGAGCAGATAGTATTCCCGTCTTTGCTCTACTAACTGTTGGTCACCTAATATACAAACCTATAGCCCATATTTTCAACCTGTCCATCAAAGAAGCATCAGTTCCTCTAGAATGGAAACATTCCTATGTTCGTCCACTTCACAAAGGGGGCCCTAAAGATGATCCAAATAACTACCGACCTATCTCAATTTTGTCCCCGTTGATGAAAATTTTTGAAAAATTATTGACCTACCAAATTAGCAGTTTCCTGTCCGCCAACAATCTATTACATCTAAAACAATTTGGGTTCCGAAAAAAATACAGCACCACATCTGCTGCATTAGACTCTCTGAATCACATTTACAGTAGCCTTGATAATAAGCAGTACTGCGCCTGTCTTTTTCTTGACTTGTCCAAAGCTTTTGATACAGTAGACCACAACATCCTGCTTAGTAAAATAAGTTGCCTCGGTTTTTCCGAAAACACAGTAAAATGGTTAAAAAAATTACCTCTTTTCTCGCACCCAAACTGTATTCACAGATGGTTGGAGGTCAAACAGTGTTAAGATAACAAAAGGGGTTCCACAGGGTTCCATTCTCGGCCCCCTCTTGTTTTCTCTTTATGTAAATGACTTGGGCACTGAACTGGATTATTCCAGGGTAAATCTTTTTGCAGATGACACGGTACTAATTACTGCTGGCCGCTCTCCGGATGACGTGATTGCTAAGCTCCAGAGTGATTTCAACAAACTACAACATCAGCTAGTTGCTCTTAAACTAGTCCTAAATCCTGCCAAAACCAAGGTGCTATGCTTCTCACCAGGACTAAAGCGGGAAGTTATTTTTCCCCAATTACATACCTTAAATAATGATCAAATAGAGCAAGTCAAGATCTATAAGTATCTTGGGGTCATCCTGGATTCAAAACTGAATTTTGAAGATCACATTGATTATATTGGGAAAAAGACAAAAATTAAAATTGGTTTTCTATATCGACACAAGCACTGCTTCCCTCCTATGTTCCGTTTGGAATTGATTAAAGCTACCGTACTGCCTCTACTTGATTACTGTGACATTGTGTATAAATCAGCCCCAAGTACTGTACTGAAGAAGCTTGACTCAATGTATCACTCGGCCTTAAGATTTGCATTGAACTGCCCATATAGGACTCACCACTGTGATCTCTACATTGGGTCAAACTTAACATCTCTGAATGTTCGACGGCTTGTGCACCAGATCTTATTTATTCATGATGTACTTGCAAAAAAATCTGCAGATTACCTGCTGGATCTCGTCTCTGTTTCAAAGAACAAATTTGACCTAAGGTCTACACTCATTTACCAGCTTAATATTCCCTATTGCCGTACATATACTGGAGGAAGGGCCTTTGCTATTGATGCCCCCAGGGTCTGGAATGCTGTTGCAAATAAATTGAAACTTGAGTCACTACCTATGAGATCTTCACTCAAAACTGCTTTAGAGGAGTTGTACACCCCTAGCTGCCAGTGCTATTCAGTGACCTAAAATAAAATGTTTCGCTCCGGATGATCGCTACAAAGTATGACCTGTGTTTTGATTTAGTGTGCTGATCTTAAAGGTGCATTGAAAAATTACAATACTCCGATTGATGCTCCTGCTGTTGTGGAGTGACTCATGCAGCCAGCTATGGCTGCAGGGTTTTGGTAGTACATGTTGTTTATGCCATTTATTGTTAAAATTCCGTCAGTTCCTATGATTGCTTTTTCATTGCCTTCATGGCTTTATTTTGGTGATTTCGAAAAGTGTATTGGTTTAGCCATGTTTGTGTTGTTGTAGTACAGAGTTAGACTGATGGCCTTAATCTAAGTTGTCTTGTGGTTGTTGTTGTTGTTTGACTTGCATCCCACTGGGATTTTTGCACACAGCGTTGGTGTACGGTGTTTTTTCTGCAATATTTTTGCTGTCTTTTCTTGGATTTTCTCTTTGCACTTAGTCACATATTCACTTTAAGATGTTTTTTTTGTTCATGTTTTTGTTTTTTGTTTGTTGCGGTTGCACCCGATTCAAGAGCTGAATGGCTCACAGGGCTATACCTAATAAATGAACTTGAACTTGAAGATCTTACCTGTCACGTGTCAACCAGAGTACCATGGCCTGGAGTAACCCAATTCCATGGCTGACACTCTCACACCCCGTCCTGTTGGGGTCCGGCACTGGCACGCCACGCGTGGTGCCACTCAGCGCCACGACTCAGCGCTCACCGAGCCCCTCTAGGGCCGGTACTACACAGTGACATCCGCGATGTCACCACATCTGTATAACTGTTATTATACTCTTGGGTTTTTCGGTAAAGTCACGTAGGGAAAATAATAAAAATAAATAATAAAATAATAGAAGAAATAATAGAAATAAAATAAATCACGACGTTTCGGAGGCAACACAAGCTTCCGCCTTCAGGTGGAACCGTCACAGCACAATTTCTGTATAAAGTAAAGAGAAATCCCAAGAGAAATTGGGATTTCAACCAAAACGTCGTGATTTAATATTGTATTTCTATTATTTCTGCTATTATTTTTATTATTTCTATTATATATATATATATATTTCCCCTACGTGACTTTACCGAAAAAACCTAAGAGTATAAATCCTTGCAGTCACGAAAGCTTCAAATCTAGAATTAACTGTTCTTAATTTGGGCTTCGGGGAAAATCCATGAGTTATTAATTCACGTAAATCATCTCAAGACAAATATCCCCCATATAGCCTTGGGTAGGAGGCTTAGGGAAGGGAGAGTGGGGGAGGGGCGGGAGAGTGGGGGAGAGTGAAGTCGCGGGAGGAGAGTGGGGAGGGGAGGGGAGTGGGGGGAGTGGGGGAGGGAGAACCACGGGGTTTCGCGAGGACCGCCTCGCCCGACGAAATCGCGATTCGTAAATGCTGGTGGCCCCGGCCACGTGACCCCCGGGCCCTGCCGCGATCACGTGGTGCGGCTCCGCTGCTTCTCTCGGGGTGAGAGCGGCGCCGATAGAACCTCTCTCCTGCTGCTGCTGCTGCCGCGCCTGGAGATCGACCCCCCCCCCCCCTCCGTCACCGCCACCGTTGTCTCTGCACTCTACACACGCGCACAAAGACAAAGCCCACACGGGGCTGCTGGGGCAAAGTGCTGTTAGCGAGCGCCTATTAAGGCAACACGAGGGTTTGGGTGGCCAGCACCGCCACCCCCTGCCCGGCCGCCTGTCTCTCTGTGTATTTGTTTTACACTGCCACCAGGGATACACATTCAAGGCGTCAGTCGGCCCAGCGGGATGTCCAGGACCGGCTTGGATAATCGCTGAGCGGGGATCGAACTAGGGGCCGCCAGGTTCGTGACTTTTACAACACATCACACATTCACATAACACCCATTCACTCATCACCCATTCACCCATCACACATTCACCCATCACACATTCACCCATCACGCATTCACACATCACACATTCACCCATCACATTCACACATCACGCATTCACGTAACACATTCACTCAATACGCATTCACTCAGCACATTCACACGTAACATGGTTTTCCCCATGGTCGTGTGGACTTTTTTACTCCACATTTGGAAACATGCGTCCAGATTATTTTGCTGCTAGAAATTTTCACGTGATAAGCAACTATGTTGCGCTATCATTAGTAATGGGCAGATCGCCTCTGACAACCAAGCTAATAGCTCAGTGGACCTTACCTGGTAATAAGATACCTACGTGAGTTTACCGAAAGAACCAAAGCATATGGATCCCTGCAGTCACGAAAACTTCAAATCTAAGATAAACATAGTTAAGTTTTATTTGTCTATATTTTTAAAATTATTTCGTTTATCTTTCCTATACTTTGCACGCCAATCGTGTTTTTGTAACGTTCTGACCCCGTGCCCCCACCGGACATATGTGAAAAATAGCTTTATAGCTCATTTAATTCCTCCTGTAGTATAAATACAGATTCTAATTCTGGTTACCAGCCCCTCGCACATACTCGCATACATATACAAACTCACACAACAACCGCCATTCACCATTAAATGGTGGTGACGTCACCACGGCTCTTGTGCCAGGTTATGTGCACGTTAAGGCCACGGGAAGTGTCGAACGCCTGTTGGCAGGAGGTCACGTCACGGGACAGACCCAGGTGGCATGGGTTAACTGACTGAGATGACTGGCCGACGCACCACCTGTGACCACCACTGTTCCAACTCGCTGCGTTTTGCCGCCCGGCGCTCCGCTCGTTGTTGTGAGTGTCGCTGCTCTGCCCTGCATTGTTGCTGGAGGGCGACTGCCTTCAACTGCCCAGTAGCGTCCTTCACGAACCTCCTCCACAGAGACCAATCTTGACACCGCGAGTAACAGTCATCGGCAAATCCACTCAGGTTCATGTCCTCTTGTACCACATCATTCCATCTCTTCTCCAGCCTGTGCCATGTATTTAGCCCCCTCTATGTGGCTGAACAAAAGCTGTTAAGGCATGCAGTGGCTGGCATGCAGGCTACATGACCCAGCCAATGCAGCCTTGCCTGCCGGGGGAGCTCACCGATGGGATTTTGTCCAGAGCTTTCAAAGATTTCTGAGCTCACACAATCCAGCCTGGTTAACCCGAGGATGTTTCAAAATGGCGGAAGATGTTTCATTACAGGGGGTTCACGTTATACAAGCAGAAAGAAAAGAGGGCATGACCGTGGCCGAGAAGACCCGGAGCTTCGTTTGGAGCGACCGACCAGGTAGCTTCCACACAGCGTTACGCAGCGGATGAAAAGATAATGGTACTCGATTGATTCGGAGTGAGACCTCTGCTGTCATAAGCACACAACCCAGGTATGGAAAAATTTCCACTCCACAACTGCCCCATCACCAATGGGGAGTTGAGGGGGTGGAGTGTTTGATGGCACAATACCCAGGCAGGTGCTTAGTTTTGGTGGGCCTGATGGTAAGGCCCCACCTCTTAGTAGCATGCTGCAGGTCTAGCAGCAGCGCCTCCAACTCCTCCTATGATTGAGCAGCAATCACCAGCATACATAACATGGTTGACCAATAGGGAGCCATCCTTCGACCGCACCCGAGCATCGATAAGCCTCTCATTGTATCTGTACCAGATGGAGATTCCTCCGGTACAGCTATGGAAGGCTTGTCAAACTACATGGTCGAATTTTTTTTTTAATAATATGGGAGCCAGAGAATATTCCTGGCTCATCCCAAAGTGAACACGGAATGGTTCCGACTCCCGGCGACGTAGTTTTACCCGGGCCTGCCCACCATCATGAAGGTCCTTAAGGATTGTGAGCAGCGAGTCAGGGACTCCGAAGCACGAAGAACAACCCAGAGCTCAGGCCTACACACATATACACACTCGCACAAATACACATGCACACGTACACACATACACCTACACTCACAAAGATGTACACTCTCACACGTACACACAAAGATCCCCCGTATAGTCTTAACAGACTGTTTGGGAAAGTGCTGTTAGAGAGTTGCACCTACGAAGGCCGGCACAGCACACGAGGGGGTGGGTGGTCAACACCACGCCCGGCCGCCTTTGTCTCCTCAGTGATGATGTTTACACACCACACCAGGTCCTCATTTGAGGCTGAGTCGATCTAAAGGAGGGCCAGAACCGGTTCAGATAATCGTCACTGGTGTTGGTGGCCATAAGTGATAATCGAACTCGGGTCGCCGGGTTCGTAGCGCAGTGCGCTAACCGCTACGCCACCACTCCCCCTTATACATATACTCGTACACGTACACATACTCGCATACTTATACACTCGCATACTTACACACTCGCATACTTACACACTCGCATACTTACATACTCGCACACGTACACACACACATACCCACACGCACGTAGACAAACTAAAAAAATGTCCCTCTTGTTTTAGCCCACTAAGACTTGTGAAGGTCGTAGTCACCAAGGCTAGGCACTTACACCGTTCTTTCCCCTGTTTGCTGATGTTCTCTGCGAAAGGTGCTCGGTTAAGGCTGATAGGGCCTAGGGGAGAGACGTCATGCTGCGCGTGCCCCGTAGGGCTCCGGGTCTCTGCATCAAGGAGGAGGAGGAAGGGGTGGGGGGGAAGGAAGATTCGTTCCACTTGCAGTGGGGTGGCTCTGTCGAGAGAAGAGGGGGACACGGGTGAGAGCCCGAGAGCAAGTGGCTTCGCGTCTCCCTGGGGGCCGCAGTGGCTCGGAGATGTTAACTACATCGCCTGCTATAGAGGAAGTTGTGGGTTCGATCTCAACCCTGACACCTGCTGTATATTAGGAGCTTGAGAGTCTCTCTCCCCATGGTCATGTGGATTTTTCTCCGGGTCCTCCGGTTTTTCCCTCCACATTTAGAAACATGTATTTGGCTGCTATACATTTCCACATGATAAGTGACTTTGTTGAGCTATCATTTGGCCTGGTCATTTCTGAAAAAGAGCTACACAGCTCAGTAGGTATTGCCTGGTTAAATACAAATAGTATAGTTTTAGTATCCCAGTTTCTCCCTATGGTTTCTCTATTTTCCTGCTTCTCCATGTATTTTCCGTTGTTTATCCGTGTATCCCCATGTCTCCCATGGGATCTCAGTCTCCCAGTCATGTCTTCCGGTGTCTCCACATATTTATTCGTTCCTCTCAGTGTCTTCCTGTATCTATGTATATTACTTTCTTTTTCTTGTCTCCTATCCAACCTGTATAGTCTCTCCCCAATATGCTGCACAGGCCACCGCTTCTGGTGATGGCAATGTCAAATCTTGAGGAGTGCATTGTGGAGCTACAGGCCATTTCAGGAGATGATCCATGGTTTGTTTCTCCTGACGAGCACCATTGTTCAGTTGTGCGGAAGTCCCATGATTGCATGAGTTGCATCTGCCAAAAACCACTCAAAGTCCGTTTAGGCTCCACCATGCGAGCCATTTGGAATTCAAGCCAGATGCGAGCTCCTCACTGGGGATGATTCCTCACCGGCTCCCTTCAGCAGTTTTGTCACTTGATTTTTCACATTTTTTTTGCCAGAGGGAAGTTTTAGCAGATTCCGGTGATGTGGTCAGTGATACAGTGGAGCACAAGAAGCTGTTTCTCAATGTCAGACGATGGTGTGCTGGCTGATGGCCACGTAGCGGACGACGGACGTCCCACTCTCTGATTTGACAGTCGTGGTCATTTGCAACCCTCCTCCTGATTGTTAGGGGGTGCTATGCCAGATAGTGCATATAGGCAGGGAACGGGTGGCGCTGAGCCACCCTGATATAATTCTGCACATGTCATTTAGGGCAGTGTCGACATGTTTACTGTGGGTTGAGTGTCCCCAGGTAGGGCATGTCTCCCCTTGTCTACTAGTGCCCCCCTGTGCCTTCCTTTACCTCCCAGTCTCTTCCTGTGTCACAGTATCTCACTATCTCATCATATTCGACAGTGCTTCTCCATGTGTCTCCCCAGTATCTCTCTGTATTTCCCTTCTCTCCCTCTCCCCATATCTCCCAGTCTCGTCCCATGTGTTGCAGCAGCTCCCTTTACGTCTTGTTCGACAGTGTCTCTCTGCGCCTCCACGTATCTTGCCTTATCTCCTAATGCCTCTCGGTGTCTCCTCCATATCTCCCTTCATATCCCAGTGTGTCCGTTTATCGCACCAGTGTCTCCCCATGTCTCCCCAATGTCTCCAAAGTGCCTATATAGACCTCAGTGTCTCCATTGACCTCCCCGTGTCCTCGTGTGTCTGTTAGAGTTGGTGTCTCTGTGTCCGCGTGTCTCTCTGGAGCCAAGTGGTGCCGGGGCCCTGGCTGAGGTGGAGGTGGAGCCAGAGGCGGGTGGAGACGGTGACAACAACAATAACACCACAACAACAACCACACAACAACAACCACACCAATACAATCAACAAACAACACAACCACATAACAACACAACAACCACAACAACACAACAACCACACAACAACAACCACAACAAAACAACCATGCAACCTCAAAAACAACTACAGCCACACACAACACCACCACAACACAACAAACACAACACCACCACAGCAAAAAAAACCACACACAACAACCTTAACCCCACAACAAAAACACTACAACATAAATATCACAATAACTACCTCAACCACACCAACACAACACAACCACCACAACCAACCACCAAAACAACATAACAGTAATATTACTCACCCTTCAAACCCCTCACACGCAGTGATTTTTTTTCCGGGTCCTCTGGTCTCCTCCCTCACATGTGCAGTCACTCACTACCTGAACCAGTAACGCCTTCACACGTAAAGAACTGCAGAGCTTGGTGTAGCGGAGAGGGGGGTGGAATTTGGCGTTAGCTCCTCACCACCTGGCTGCTGTCTTGTCCGTGGTGTCCCCTCGCGCCTTTGAGTAATCCTCTGTCATTCGGGCCATTCAGAGGAGAGGATTATGAACAGTGATCTCCCTCAAGGCTCGGTACTAGCAATGTATGTATGTCGAACTTCTTTTGCACTGTACGAGGCCAATCGTGCTAATCGGAGGTGCGGGTAATGTCACAATCATACTCTTATATAAGCGCACAACTTTATCTATCTGTGATGAACGTTGCACTTTCTGTCATTTTCATGCAGGGGGCGCTGCAAACCTACGCGCCCCCTGCATGAACGACGGAGGCGTAGGGACAGACTTTCGATTACGTTGGAATCGATCTGCAGACGGCGGTCTTCTCGCACGGCCAGCTCTATGTCGCCTTATCTCGATCCCGCAATCCCAAACAGGTGAAAGTCCGCATTGAACCGAACCCCCAGAAAGGCCATCTACTTAACGACGAGAGAAAATGCACATGAAATGTCGTTTTCAATTAAGTCTTCCAGATGTAAAATGATATAAGCTTTTAATGAAGAAATAAAATTATCTATTTCAAAACATAATACAATTCAAAGTTGTTTCATTGTTAAACTTAAAAACGGAGCATCGGGTGCTTGCGTGAATGCGTCGTTCGTGTGCAATTTTTTTCGTGACTTTCCTGGCCAAAGGCCATAAATGGTTGTGAGGGGCGCCGCGGCAACATTGACCCTGAAATTTGCTATATAATTTCAGCTGATTCCCCCCGTAATCCTCGGCACACTGCATCACCACCGCCTGCAGATTAATACAATTATAATGTCATTCGAATTTTATAATTTTTCTATCGGCTTTAATATATCTTGACTTAAAGCTTTCGTGACTGCAGGAATTCATATTATTTGGGTCCTTTGGTAAATTCACGTAGATAGAAGATGGTACAAACTGAGCAATCATTGGAAGGACGTTATTAATCAGTTTAAGTCATAACTGGCTGTGATGTTTCCATCTTACCTTCCTATGTTAGCAGTTATTTTCGACTCTCTGATTTTACATTAACAGGTTCACACTAACAAAGCCGCCGTTTACATTGACATGCTAATCCTTCTCACTTTAACATCACTAGCACCGCCCACTTCGTTTATGACCCTTGGGCTACACCCATTTCAAACCTTTAAAACAGCCTGCCTCAGCATCTTTGCCCCTTTTTTTTCACCTGATAACGTTTGCTTGCATTGCGATCGAAATGTCGTGATAGTTTTATTATTTTTTATTCACTTTTTATTATTTTATTGTTCTTTGTACGTGACTTTACCTAAAGACCCAAAGAATAAGCTTTAATATAATTTAATAACAATATCAGTTTTATTTTCTTGAAAGCACCCCACATAGCAGAGAAGTTGCTGGCTACCTTGCAATGTACACTGTGTGAAGTTTTTTTTTTACGGAGTTCCAGAGAGTATTACTGAGCGGAGAGAATCGTGGAGCTGCAGAGAGAGAATCGTGGAGCTGTAGAGAAAGAATCATGACACAGCAGAGCGAGAAAGAATCACGGTGCTGCAGATTATGGGACTCGCTTCCACAGGGTGATGGAGAAGGGAAGTAATAAAATAATAAAAATAAAACATAAAATAATTCTCACGACGTTTCGGCCACAATGCAAGCAGTCGTCCTCAGGTGAAGAAACAGGTCTGTCGAGAAGGCAGCGTCTGAATGACACGCCCCAGGCTTGGAGAGTCTATTTAAGCTAGGTTGGAGCGGGAATGTGCGCCTTAACAGAATAATTTGCATATCAATAGGAATTTAGCATATTTATGGTAAATGCAGATATGGGATTAGTACTACTTGTGAAGTGCGTAGGAGGTGGGAAGGGGGTTTAAAGTCATTATGCCCGTGCATTATGCAGGATTAGCAGAATCAAAGGGAGGGGGTAGGAGTAGCATTAATGAAGTGAAGGAATTTCGATTTAAAGCTTTCGTGACTGCAGGGATTCATCTTCTTGGTTCTTTCGGTAAAGTCACGTAGAAGGGAAGTAATAAAATAATAAAAATAAAACATAATAAAACAATTCTCACGACGTTTCGGCCACAACGCAAGCAGCCGTCCTCAGGTGAAAACCAGGTCCGTCGAGGCGACAGAGTCTGAATGAAACAGCACACGAGCTTGGAGCATATATATAAGCTGGGCGCATTGACAAAGGAATTTGCATATCAAAAGGAATTTAGCATATTTATGGGAAATGCAGGAATGTGATTAGTACTGCATATGCATGTGCATTATGCAGGATTAACAGCATCAAAGGGAACTGCAGTTACTGCTGCTGCAGCAGTTGCTGCTGCTGCTGCAGTTTCTGCTGCTGCTGCAGTTGCTGCTGCTACTGCAGTTGCTGCTGCTGCTGCACTTGCTGCTGCTGCTGCACTTGCTGCTGCTGCTGCAGTTGCTGCCTTATCCATTTTAATATAACACTATGTATTATTCTACCCACCCTAATGTGTATCATACTGCTATATGTTTACTGTACAATTACGACACCATACATTACTCTGCACACTGCACCATGCCAGTGAGTGGAACGCGGTCTGAAAGTCACCGTAAACGTGAACACAATCAGTTAAGATCCGAAATGGTTTATTACGTCCTTCCAATGATTGCTAAGCCAGAATCCATCTTCTCGGTTGAAATTGTCTCTGTGTTTGTATATGTGGATTGCCTCATGAACGAATCTCTCATGATAGCCAGATGGCTTGCAGAGAACCTCTGTCTTGGAGAAGTCAATGTCATGTGAGCCCACTGAATTGTAACAGTGATCTGCCACGGCTGAGGTGTTTGTCCTACCGTGTTTCAGGTCTGCCTTATGTTCACGGATGCGGTCCGAGACATGTCGTTTGGTTTCTCCAATGTAACTGCTACCACAGAGGCAACTTAGTTTGTAGACGCCAGGGTACTGTATGTCTGGAACCACATCTTTTACAGACGGGACCAGATCACGGATTTTATGTACTGTGTTGAATCGGACCTGGATCTTGTGTTTAATCAGGATTTTGGAGATCTTTTTTGTGACCCCAGCAATGTAGGGTAAGGTGATGGTCTTGAAAGGCTCCTCAACAGGATCCTTCTTCACTCCAACCATCAAGAAGGATCCTGTTGAGGAGCCTTTCAAGACCATCACCTTACCCTACATTGCTGGGGTCACAAAAAAGATCTCCAAAATCCTGATTAAACACAAGATCCAGGTCCGATTCAACACAGTACATAAAATCCGTGATCTGGTCCCGTCTGTAAAAGATGTGGTTCCAGACATACAGTACCCTGGCGTCTACAAACTAAGTTGCCTCTGTGGTAGCAGTTACATTGGAGAAACCAAACGACATGTCTCGGACCGCATCCGTGAACATAAGGCAGACCTGAAACACGGTAGGACAAACACCTCAGCCGTGGCAGATCACTGTTACAATTCAGTGGGCTCACATGACATTGACTTCTCCAAGACAGAGGTTCTCTGCAAGCCATCTGGCTATCATGAGAGATTCGTTCATGAGGCAATCCACATATACAAACACAGAGACAATTTCAACCGAGAAGATGGATTCTGGCTTAGCAATCATTGGAAGGACGTAATAAACCATTTCGGATCTTAACTGATTGTGTTCACGTTTACGGTGACTTTCAGACCGCGTTCCACTCACTGGCATGGTGCAGTGTGCAGAGTAATGTATGGTGTCGTAATTGTACAGTAAACATATAGCAGTATGATACACATTAGGGTGGGTAGAATAATACATAGTGTTATATTAAAATGGATAAGGCAGCAACTGCAGCAGCAGCAGCAAGTGCAGCAGCAGCAGCAAGTGCAGCAGCAGCAGCAACTGCAGTAGCAGCAGCAACTGCAGCAGCAGCAGAAACTGCAGCAGCAGCAGCAACTGCTGCAGCAGCAGTAACTGCAGTTCCCTTTGATGCTGTTAATCCTGCATAATGCACATGCATATGCAGTACTAATCACATTTTTGCATTTCCCATAAATATGCTAAATTCCTTTTGATATGCAAATTCCTTTGTCAATGCGCCCAGCTTATATATATGCTCCAAGCTCGTGTGCTGTTTCATTCAGACTCTGTCGCCTCGACGGACCTGGTTTTCACCTGAGGACGGCTGCTTGCGTTGTGGCCGAAACGTCGTGAGAATTGTTTTATTATGTTTTATTTTTATTATTTTATTACTTCCCTTCTACGTGACTTTACCGAAAGAACCAAGAAGAAGTGAAGGAATGTTAATAGTATGTAGCTGCAGTAACTCAGCCACCACGTAAACAACTAAAGTATAAACTACATAGTATCATCAGTATACTAAATATACTCTCCAATAAGCTGATCTACTAACAGTAAGTAATACATTATAATTCTATGTCGCAAAATTATAATATGCTTCCAGCTAAACTTTATTCTCTTACATCACACAGGTCTACCCCCTACTATATACTGCCATAGACAAACCCAACATTAAATTATATACTGTATTACTATACACCATTACACTATGTATTATTCTACCCACCCTACTGTATATCACACTGCTGTATATTCACTATACAATTACGATACTATATATTACTTTATACATTGTATTAAACATTACAATTTTATACTATTTATTATTTAACAATCCGCTATACACTATACCATTGACCGTCGCGTGAATGATACTAAGAAGAAGCAACGAAATATGTCAATGGGAGAGTGGTGGTAGGAGGCTTGCAGCGGAGCAAAGAATCCATTCCCTGCGGAGAATACACGATATATAGTCAATACCAGTGAGTGGACTGCGGTATGAAGGTCACCTTAAATGTGAGCACAATCAGTTAAGATCCGAAATGATTTATTACGTCCTTCCAATGATTGCTGAGCCAGAATCCATCTTCTCGGTTGAAATTGTCTCTATGTTTGTATATGTGGATCGCCTCATGAACGAATCTCTCATGGTAGCCAGATGGCTTGCAGAGAACCTCTGTCTTGGAAAAGTCAATGTGAGCCCACTGAATTGTAACAGTGATCTGCCACGGCTGAGGTGTTTGTCCTACCGTGTTTCAAGTCTGCTTTATGTTCACGGATGCGGTCAGAGACATGTCGTTTGGTTTCTCCAATGTAACTGCTACCACAGAGGCAACTTAGTTTGTAGACGCCAGGGTACTGTGTGTCTGGAACCACATCTTTTACAGACGGGACCAGATCACGGATTTTATGTACTGTGTTGAATCGGACCTGGATCTTGTGTTTTATCAGGATTTTGGAGATCTTTTTTGTGACCCCAGCAATGCAGGGTAAGGTGATGGTTTTGAAAGGCTCCTCAACAGGATCCTTCTTGATGGTAGGAGTGATGGCTTTGCGGATTGTATAGTCGGAGTAACCATTAGCCTTAAGAGCTTGGCGTACGTGTTTGAGTTCACTGGCAATGTGTTCCTGGTCAGATATGCATTGGGCTCTATGGTATAGAGTCTTAATGAGGGAATTCTTCTGGGATGGATGGTGGTGGAAATCCGGTTTTAGGTAAGCATCCGTATGGGTGGCTTTCCTGTAGACAGAGTGGCTCATTGAACCATCAGGTCTCCTTTTAATTAGGACATCCAAAAAGGGTAGATTGCCATCTTTTTCGACTTCCATGGTGAATCTGATGAAGCTTTAAATCGAAATTTAAGGGTGATGTAGATTACAGAATGCTTGGTCTCACCAGATCACCACGGATTATTGAAGTCGTGTATTGCTGCTGATGATTCTGCTGCCACTGACGATGTTGTTGCTGCACTGAATCACCAGCACTGATGCCACTGCCCCACTCTCTCCTCTCTCCTCTCCCGTTGGTCAGAGCTGAAGTTGCGACCATGCATTGAGTGCGAGAGGAGAAGTGGCAGGAGAGGGCTAGCGCGCAAACAGCATCAACGGCAGACGTCTCCCGCAGCGGCGTGTGGGACGTGTGGGGTGAATGTTAGGAAACATGCAATGAAGGCAGTGGTGCAAGGAAGTGGTGGTGATGGTGAAAAGGTAATCGGGCAACCACGAAAGGCTTTGCTGGTGAACCAGCAAAGGAAAGGTGAGTGTCATGATACCACTGCTACTACCAATACATAGCCACCAGTCAACATCACCCTCACTACCACTCACTCATAATAAAGGTTTTTGGATTAGATCGAGTTATTATAAATGTGTCGCAACCCTCCACCACCCGACACGGCAAATCAGTAAAAAAATGTGTCACGTTAACAAAACGCCCACCAGTGTGTTTGAAGAGTGAATCCACAACATTTAGAATTTGAGTATGATGTTTCGCTGGTAATTACATCCAGCATCTTCGGGTGATTTGCCAGAATAGTAAAGCCATCCACCTGCTTCCGGTCTTAAATAGTGCAGGATGACGTCATCATTGTTGAACCCCGTCAGGTTTCGAGATCAGAGGCGGAGGTGGGGCGGTATTGCAATTATATCATAGATCAGTAATCGGCCAATTAGCATGTGACTCCTCTATAAGGAATTGCAATATGTATTGTGTATTACTTAATAATACGCTTCCAGACTCTTTGGTTCTTTCAACACTGCAGGGTTGGCCTCACCGGATGACGGTGTTGTGATCGAAATGTCGTGATCTTTTATTTCTACCTACGTGAGTTTACCGAAAGAACCAAAGAGTATTGATTCCTGCAGTCACGAAAGCTTCAAATCAAGATTAATACGCTTCCAGGCTGCGCTAAGTCTGCAGCTGTCAGAGAGGTTAAAATTATTTCGATGGATTCTCTAATTAGTCTTGGCCAGTAATAATTAGTTATGCATAACACTTCAACGTTATCAAAATAAATTGAGTGTCCTTGTTGGCAAGCATGTTCTGCCACTGCTGACAGTTGTATTTGAGCTAATTTAATGTTCCTTTGGTGTTCTTTTAGTCTTACGCTAATGTTACGTCCCGTCTGTCCAATGTAGCATTTACCACAGCCACCACAGCGTTACTTAGTGGCAACCACTGAGGTGGGGGTATTATCCAACACCACCAACTTCACACCCACCACAATCATCAACACCACAATCTCTATTACCACCATCACTATCACCAGGATCACAAACACGATCACTACGGCTGTCTATGTCTCCCTAGTGGCGATGTTTATGCCATCGCCACTCGTCGACTAGGGGGGGGGGCCCAGGACCGGTTTAGATAATCGTCACTGATGTTGACCATGAGCAGGAATCGAACTCGGTTCGCCGAGTTCGTATCGTAGCACGCTCACCATTACACTACTCCCTACCCTCACTACCACCATCAATACCACCAACACCATCACCACCTTCATCACCAAAACCCCCCGTATCCCCTTAACAGGCTGTTAAGGCAAGTTATCAAGCACCTATGAAGGTCGGCACGGCACACAAGGGGGTGGGTAGCCAGCACCATGACTGGCTGCCTTTGGCCCCAAGTGCCGATGTTTATACACTGCACCAGATACTCATTTGAGGCTGAGTTGATCTAGGGGAGGCCCGGGACTGGTTCAGATTTTCGTCATCGATGTTGGCCATGAGGGGGAATCGAACTTGGGTCACCAGGTTTGTAGCGAAGCGCGTTAACCGCTACTCTACCTCTTATCACCACGATCACCAACACCATCATCACCACCGTCACTATCACCGCCATCTTTGAATGTAATGCATAATTTTACACACAGGTGGCATCGCCAGCACCACCATCACTGCCACCACTGCACCTGTTGCAGATGATGTTTCTGAGAAGACTGGTGAAGAGCGGGGCGAGGGTGGTGAAGATGGTGAGGGTGGGGAGGATGGAGAGGGTGGTGAAGATGGTGAGGGTGGGGAGGATGGAGAGGGTGGTGAGAATGTTGGGGGTGGAGAGGGTGGGGAGGGTGATGAGGGTCAGCATCGGTGCTTGGAGTGTGGTGTCAACTTCACTGCCAGCGCAGATCTCAGTAGACACTTGAGAGTGGAGCATAGAGGTGAGTGAATAAAAACACAATCTTGAAAGTATGTTTTACCATTGTAACTGAGGAGGTGCAGCGGTCAAAGACACTTAGCCAGCCCCACTGAGATCTTGTGATTCTGCTGGTCTCTGTGTAAGTCTGTGACAGAGCTCCACAGGTTTGCAGATAGACCCAAATGCACACATTCATGCTAATGCCAGTTTGTTGAGCAGCAAAATGTGAATGTTGAGGACTGATAGCTATGAGATGGCTTCAGGAGAGATTTTGTGCAGTTTTACTATTCCTCCAATGAATGAGTGTAGACTATGGTTTACTATATGGTCCGTAGTTTGGATTGCATGGTCACAATCGCACTGTGGTTGGTCATTCATTTTCTATTTATGAAGACGATGTGTGCATATGCCTGTTGATATTCTGTTGCAGCTGATAGTTACACCGGTACTCTGGTTCTTTCGGTAAAGTCACGTAGAGAGAAAAAATAAAAGAAAACACGACGTTTCGGTCGCAACACAAGCGTCCGTCTTCAGGTGTGAAAAAATGATCTGCTGTTGTGGCTTTATATAGGCACGGGAGGGGAGAGGGAAGGGGGTGGAAGGAGTTTGGGTGTGGGAGTTCACAGGGGAGAGGGGGGAGGGTTTGTGGCGTGCAGGGACGGGAGGGGGCTAGCACCGGGGGTAGAGGGGGGGGTTGTGGCATGCATGGACGGGTGGGGCTAGAGAAATTTGCAAGTAAATGGACTTGTAGTCAAGTCATAATCGGAAGACGACGACTGGGTGGGTGAGTGAAAATCATAGAAGTTAAAACTTCACGTGGTTTATCACATCCTTCCAATGATTGCTCAATCTGAATCTATCTTCGCAATTAAAGTTTTTTTCTGTGTTTGTATATATGGATGGCTTGGTGAACAAATCTTTGAAGGTGGCCCGAGGGTTTGCAGAGCACCTTGGTCTCGGAGAAAACAATGTCATGTGTGCCCAGAGCGTTGAAACAATGATCCGCCACTGCCGAGGAGTTGGTTCTGCCGTGTTTCAAATCCGCTTTGTGTTCGCGAACCCGGTCTGAGACACGTCGCTTCATTTCACCAATGTAACTGCTGCCGCAGACACAACTCAGCTTATAGACACCAGGACATTGCATGTCCGGAATCACATCCTTCACCGATGGGATCAAATCACGGATTTTGTGTACTGTATTGAACCGAACTTGGATCTTGAGTTTGTTTAAGATTTTGGCAATCCTTTTGGTGACCCCTGCTATGTATGGTAAGGTGATGGGTTTGATTGGGTCCTCAGATGGTTCTCTACCCATGGTTGGGGATGCAGCTTTGTGGATTTGCGGTCAGAATATCCATTCCTCCTGAGAGCCTGGCATATGTCTTCAAGCTCACTGACTAGGTGGTGCTGGTCGGAGATGCAACGGGCCCTATCGTGTAGTGTTTTGATGAGGGAATTCTTCTGGGCTGGATGGTGGTGGGAGTCAGGCTTTAAATAAGAATCTGGGTGAGTGGCTTTCCTATAGACAGTGTCCCAATGAGTCATCAGGTCTGTTCTCGATCAAAAAATCCAGGAATGGTAGCTTGTCATCATTTTCCACTTCCATGGTGAATTTGATGGATGGGTGTATGGAATTGATGTGGTTGAAAAATTGGTTCAGTGCTGGCAGGCCATGTGGCCAGATGACGAACGTGTCATCTACGTATCTCTTCCACAAGGAAGGACGTCGGGTGGATGTCTGGATGGCCGCTGTCTCAAATTTCTCCATGAATATGTTTGCTACCACTGGTGATAGGGGAGAGCCCGTTAGGGTACATTCATTCTTTTTTTAGAAAGTACCATTCCAGGTGAAATAAGTGTTGGTAATGGCCGTGCCTTACCATCAGGATCCAATCGCTGTTGGACTAGGTCTTCAATGATTGCAATAGTATCAGGTACGGGTACCTTGGTGAAGAGGGATACTACATCGAAACTGACAAGTAAATCATCCGGGGACCGTGATATGTCCTTGATTAGTGAAACCAAGTGGGCTGAATTAAGTACAGCTGAGGTGGTCTTGCCCGGGAAGGGAAGCAGAGTCTCAGGCAGAAATCGTGCGAGTCTGTAAGTGGGTGAGTTAATGGTGGATATGATAGGACGGAGTGGAATACCCTCTTTATGGATTTTTGGGAGGCCGTAAAATTCTGGGTGGTCTAGCAGCTGCGGGCTTTAGAGAGAGTTGTTTGGTGCGTTCGATTAGGGAAGTCGAATTGGTGATGATTTTGTTGGTTTTAGTAGCCAAGCTATTGGTAGGGTCTCTGTTAATTTTGGTATAGCAGCCATCATTGAGAAGGTCCTGAATTTTGTTATATGTGGTTTTATCCATGATGACAGTGGCATTGCCCTTGTCGGCTGAGAGGATGACAATATCATCTCTATTTTTTAATTGAGCGAGTGCAAACATTTCGTCCTTGCTAATATTGCTCATGGGTTTCTTAGCATTCTTGAGGATAGCGATTTCAGATTTTGCAACGTCTGCCAGGATGTGTCCCAGACCTTTGAGGGCTACGTCGACCTGGGCAATGATGTCATTCACTAGGATGTGTTTGGGGGTGACTGCGAAATTTAATCCCTTAGCGAGTACCGATTTTAGGCTGTCAGAAATTGGGCTGTTACTGTGATTGATAACAATCTTGTTAACATCTAACTTTTCCAAGTGTGGTTCGGGTTTCATTTTTGACAGGAGGTTGAATTTGGCAATCAAGTTGGCTTTGCTTTAGGTTGACATTGAAGCAGCTGAAGAAATAGTCATGTTATCCACATGGTCCCAATCAGATGTTGACATTTTGTCTGTTAATGCTAAATGTTGCATTTGTGGTGATTGCTACATTGGAGAAACGAAACGTCATGTTTCTGATCGTGTCCGCGAGCACAAGTCAGATCTGAAACACGGCAGAACTGATTCTTCGGCCGTTGCCGATCATTGCTACAACTCGGTGGGCTCTCATGAAATTGTCTTTTCCGAGACCAAGGTTTTCTGCAAACCTTCTGGCTACCATCAAAGGTTTGTACACGAAGCCATACAAATATACAAACACAGACATAATTTCAATCGTGATGATGGTTATAAACTGAGTAATCATTGGAAAGATGTGATTAACCATGCAAAAAAGATTTAACTACACTTATTTGGCCAATCTTATTTGACAGACAACTATTACAGGTTATTGATAGACAGCCAGGCTTGTTTTACCATGTTTAGTTGTTTCTCGTTTTTCACACTTGTTATGTAGGCTAGGCTTAGTCACAAACCGTACCTCTCCATAACAAAGGCTCACCCTCTTAAGCCTCACCTTACCATATGAATAAAAAGTGTGCCGTACTTGGCCCTTCCCCCCTCTCCAACTATTTTATATACGGAGTGGTAGCTCTTGCAATCTCTCATTTACTTGATACAGCTGTCGTGGCTGTGACGGTTCCACCTGAAGACGGAAGCTTGTGTTGCCTCCGAAACGTCGTGATTTTTATTTTATTTTACTTTTATTAATTTTAATGTTTTACCTACGTGACTTTACCGAAAAAACCTAAGAATATGAATCCTTGCAGTCACGAAATCTTCAAATCTAGAATTACTTAATCCCCTTCATCAGTCATATCACACAGAGCACTCTCTGTAGCCCAACGCGTCAAAAAGGATGGAACAGCCACCGTCAACTAAGCGCAGCGAAATTCCAGCCAAATTCTGGCAGAAACCAGGGCCTTGAAGATGCAACAGTGGCTGGATAAGCCATTTCCTTCATTTGCACATTTTCTGGTCCTATAGATTTCCAGTTTCGAAATTGTTCATGAAAAAGTTCACTAAGCCCTCTATGTATTTGGTGTCTTCATTCCCCTTATGTCCAAAAATAAGAATCGCAAGGGAGAAAGGAAGTTAAAATCTTAGTAAGTTATTTCGTAGGAGCTTAAATAGTGAGCCGAGGCTTTGCCAGTGTATACACTGATGGGCAACTGTTTCATTTCCACCACAAAATAGAAATTCTGGCTTCGTATCTGCGAAATGTGTCATAGAAGTATCTGTGGTCACTGTACCATAGGCATTGTTCCAGCTCAGATCATCCTGGGGGTTAGATTGGAGTAAAACAGCTCTCAATGAGGAGTACACAATCAATGCAGGGAATTGTGTCCCTCCAGACATGGTCTTTGTGCAACATTAGTATTTTTTATGATGGAAGTGAACCTTAGGACAATACAGTTTCTTTCGCTCTACATTTGGGAAGTTCTCTTCCCGTTATGTACACAGTGCTGCGATAAAAGGAATGGGTACTTCCTTACTGACTCGATAGTCAGCTCTGGTGACACTGGACTACCATGAGCTGACATATCACCGACATTCACATCAGGTGTGCTTCCTACTGCTTTTGAGCAAACCTTCCGCACCTCATACACAATTTTCGCGGAAAGTCTTATTGAGTGCAGTCCCGTTATTGCAGCCATCTCAGTAGAGAGAAGCCATTGACCATGCATGCCTCATTTCACCAGATCGCCTACCCTGGTGAGACATGCATCGACCATACCCTTCTCTATGGCTAAGCTCACAAGAGAGGGTAGTCCCATGTGAGGATTCTGCAAAAGTGGTTTGAGAACAAGATCTGATGCTGACTGGGATGTATTAAGGGTAATGACAAGGAAACCCCAGGTCTTTAGGACACTCCTGTAGAAATTGGGAATCTGCGATTGTGGGATACCAAAAATGTTCGTATAGAAAAGTAGCTTTTTGCACTGTAGGGCCCCTAGGTTACTTAGAAAGATGATGTGGAACACCACATGGGTGATGGGGCTGTGTACAGAAGCCATTGTATGGCTTGCAAGCGAAAGGTGGAAATTTTACTCTATGCACATGAGACCTTGCCTGCCTCACTGCAGTGGCAAAGCTACAACTCCAGGAGCAACCCAGTGCTTCCTGTATGACTAAAATAAGTTAGCTATCATCCTCTGAAGTTTGGAAATCAAATAAGCAGGTGGAGTAAGGGAAAAAAAGTAGTG